GGGGGGGGGGGGGGGGGCGAGGGTTGGATCCCCATCCGCGACCTGTCATTCGTAAATACCGGATCCCCCTTTTAAATAATCCTGGATCCGCCCCTGAACAAAAACGTTTCCATGGGCACACACACAGTTTTATTTCAGTTTATAAATAACACATACAGGGTTACTACTTAATATGGAATATTATTTTTTGGCGAGTTAATTTTCTACAAAATATTTATTTTCTCTCTAACTACTTTAAATCTCAAACTGAAGTGTCACTCCATGTGTAGCCTGGTGTGTTACCTAATTACCACACAACTCTCAAAACAATTAATGCATGCAGTTGCATGTTCTGTGGTCAGAAATGTGAGGGGTAGTCTTTTCGGCAATTTCTGCCCTTGTATAAAAACGCATGGGTTTGGCCAATCTTTTGGGTGTAGTTAGAGAAGCTATGAAGGGTAGCTCTGAAACTTGACAGGTACCTTAGAGAAGATATGGTTCGACTGCTAAGCAACGCAGCTTTCTATGGGATTCTTGCTCTCAGAGAAAATGGACAGAAACGGACAGCCATTGACAGGCAATGCAACATTTATCAGGAACCGTTAGTAAAGTCCTCCAAAGAAATGCTACAACAAAGGCACCTACTCCAATACCTCGACCAGGGTGTCCGCGTATCACACCAAGAAGACAGAATCGCCTTTTTCTTAGAGTGCGCCGTGCTGGTCGTACAAAGACAACCAGTGTCCTCAGAAAAGAGTGGCAGAATGTTACTGATCATTTAAAATATGATATAAAATCTTGTTTGCAAAATCTTATGTATTTCCACATATTCAACCAATTTTACTATTGATGTATCAAAATGAATTCAAACATTTTTACCTGGGCAACAACCAAAATTGTGATCAGTAGGTAGGTAGAACTTGGTTTATCCAGATTGGCTACTTATATCTCTTTACATTTGGAAAACAGAAAATATGTAATAATGGAAAGTTAAAGCAATATATCTGCCCTTGTTGAAAATTGCAAGGTGTTTACCATTGCAAAAAAAAAAAAAAAAAAAGATATAACTGGTGAATTATTTACTTTCTAATAATTTCATTTAAATGCTGTCAAGACTTGCGCCTTTCCATTTAAACTACTACCTCTACGAACTCAACGGTCTCCCATGTACCCAAAATTCGTGGGGGACGTGCGATCCTAAAATTCATGCGTCCGGTTGTGACCGAGCCTTAAGTAGTGATATGATACATGTAGCATGACCAAGGAGTTATAAGGGAGCGAGAATCCCCTCGGAGATAGAACGATCTACAGTTAGTACGGGTCTGGGAATGGTCCCACAGAGTCTCCATAAACCTGGGCTTTCCATTTCTTTCTTTTTTTAAAAAAAACTTTATATGCACCTGATATGCGTACAATGCGACAGATTATAAGACAAGCAGGGCGCGATCTTTACTGTTCCTAGAAACGGGGTTTTTCCGGACTTCTGCCATGAAATGTGACACTGGGATTTTCCAAATTTAGGCCAGCACAAAGCGGATCGCTACTTCCGTCCTATTCAGGTGTATGTCGCAATACAGACTCTGTCTCATATTACACCTAAATGTACAGTGTACGCCCCCCCCCCCTCCCCCCCCAAATGTATGACTCTGTGGGAAAAACCCGCGTAGGGGCAATTTGCCTCGCTTTGTGAGAAGCGGCGTGTCATCGGCTTTTCCATCGAGTAACAATAAACTACTTAGATCTTTAGGATAATTTCACTTTACGTTTACCTAATCTGGTCTTTTTGTGGCAGTATATAAAAATCCGAATGCGCGAACCACGTTCAAGTTAGATTTTGTCGGGCTTGTGATTGGAGACCTGAGCAAGACTGAAGAAAAATGGGTCTTGGACATACTTCAGGATTTACTGTAGAAATTGAAAATGAAACCCCACACGAATTGCATTTATACCAACCAGATCCTTCTGATAAAGAAAAAACAAAAAAACAAATAAGACAAGTAAGAGGTGTGCTATCTAAGCTTACTGCCTCCATACTGCCCGGCACAGTAGTCCAACAAGCCATAGAAAGTCATGGACGTCGAGATGCAAGCTTTGGGACACATGTGGAAAAAATTCAATATATCGTCCAGCAGTACCAAAGCACCACAACAGAGAACAAATCGTTACAGATGGAGAGTGAAAGCACTAGTACTGCTGTGCAGAGTGCTTCACATGATGGTCATTCCGGTTGGGCTTTTCGTCTGGAATTGTGTGCCGCCTATTACAAGAAAAATGCATTCTACGTCGTGGAAATAACAGACCAAGGTGGGAAAGTTCGTGCAAGAGAAGTGTTCAGAGAGGAAAAAGCTTTGAAACATCGTCGCAAAGAAGAAGAAAATTGCACCGTGAATCCCATTGCAGCCAGTGGTGACTGTCCCTTCGCAGTTGATATGACAGTCAGCGAGAATCCGCGTAGGAATCTCGGTTGGTGGAGCGTACGTCTATGCTTTAGAGAACGCTTGATGTAAGTACGCTGTAAGTATACTTGGCTGTTTGGATTGTAACGTGTTCATTGGACTATCTGACATTTACCATGAATGCTTATTTATAGAAATCGTTATAACATACGTCAGTGCGATTCTAATATACCCTACTACATGTAGCAGAGATCGAGTTGGACGCATAGTGAATTTTTGTAAATAACCCACAAAACACTCAACTTTTTTTCTCCTGGACCAGGTTGGTGTGACGGGGCCGTAACAATAGTCCGAAGGTTCATGGGTCCGAATGTTCACTCTAGAACTTTCACTATATAGAACCTTCGGACCAGTGAACCCTTGATTACAACACTGATGAAAATTTTACTATTTTTCGGACCAATGAACCTTCGGACTATCGCGACGCCCCTGGTTTGACAAGAGAACTAGGCTACATGTAAAATCTTCAAGACTCATTGAAAGACCGAAAAAGGCTCTTGCAATGAGCTTATGATAAAACAATTTTAAATCAGGATGAGACGTGAAGAAAAATGATTGCCTCGAATACAATTGTACTTTGAATGCGATTGGTCAAACCCGTTTACATTTATAGGTGCACTGCCAATCCAGCTTCCTTCGTAGAAAGACTACATTTTACGTTCAGTGTTTGGAAAGCGTGCAGGACAGCTACAGTACGAAAACTACGAGAAATCTCCGAAGATTTGCACCTTCATAATCAAAGCATTAGTGTCGCCACAATCACGGGTCATTCCACTTCAATATTTGCCGCAGTACTCGGCGCTGCAGGGTTTGCCGCTTCATTCTTTACCTCGGGGTTGTCTCTCATTTTATTAGCGGCCAGTTCCGCATTAGGAGCAGGTGGCGGGATAACTGTGAGTGGCAGCACCATCGCTCGCTCTGTTCTCTCAGCATCAGCGCAAGCGGAGGCCAATGAAGTTTTACAAAAAGATCACAATGCATTACGTGACATATTGATTCTGTTTGAGACTATAAAACACATAGGCAGACAGGATCTTATGAAAATCAAACAGCAATTCAAGATGCACAACGTCCCCAGAAAAGGTATAATATTATCTACAATGCACCACGCGGGTAAAATTGGATTCCTTGTGGGTTCTAATCTCTTGTATAAACCAATCATCACAGCACAGAAACTGGCTGGGGAACTGACCGCAGTGAGCACTCAGTCAATTACCAAAACTGGACGTTCAGTTGCCACATCAGGCGGGGAAGATTTGCTCGATCTGTTTTTACGGGCAATAGGTATCCAGGTCCCGAGAAATGTTTTAGATTCTGCCGGTGGAATCATTCCACTGGTGTTTTTGCCTTTTGATATCTGGGCCCTTGTTGAAGCAGCAGCCATAGTGGCTTGTGACAGGGGGACTGAGATAACCGAGTTGTTGCAACGTACTGCCAAAGCCCTTGAGAAGGAAATACCGAGCCAGCAAGATTTTGATGTCCTGGTTCACAAGTACCTTAGCAGCATTTAGGACATTATATCTTTCCCCCCATCAGAGCTCATTCAGTTGTAACGTACTCACAGAAATGCGATGATATATGCAATGTTTTATCTAGTGAAATTGGTTTTTATAATATTTATAATCGAGTGACTAGCTATAGTGCTGTAAAAAGCTGGTACCAGCTACCGGGTATTTAGGTAGGCCTTGTGTTATTTAAGTATCATAAATATATTGTATACGGAAATGGACTAGACTGTAGACAATGGAAAATACACATACATGTTTTGTACTAGTATATCATGTAGAATATCTGTTTATTTGAGAATAACATAAATCTTAAATTAACAAAGATTTCAAAATGTGAAACTGTAAAAAGAATTATCACCCTTTGAATTATGTGTATTG